AGGCAGTACTACAGAAATACAGTACCTGAAAATGTTGTGTGTAGAATGAATAGTTCCAGTATCCTTCTTACATAGATCAATCCTGACTTTTAAATAATTCCCTCAAACACTAGATAGTCTCATGCTTCTCTTCTAGACTATTTGTATTTTCTGCAGAAGTTCATTTTGGGGGGTCATGCAGCAGTCCACTGTAGATAAGCCAGATTAGTCCTTCCAGAATTTGAGGACACCCTAGGGAAGAAAGACTAATGCAGATGTGCAGTTGTTTATTAAAGTTACAAAATATTAGACTTCAAACACAACCAGGGTAAAGCAAAAAGTGAAAAGTAAGTGGTTGCTATTAGAACCATCTTAAGAGTTGACAATTATAAAAATAAAAATGTTTGTCTACCCTTTTACAATTTTAAATTGAAGATTAAAAACTATCCAAGTTGCTGTTGGAAATATGAAATCCTGGAGAATAGCTAAGTTAATAGAGAGTAAGAGTACTGTCCAATTGTTTATAAGGTCTTTATATTGTCTTTTGCTTGTTAAAACAAAAAATCTAATAACAACATTAGAAATTTAACATGTTCCTAACAACACTCTACTAAAATCATTTCTTAAAGCTTAAAGCAATAGGAAGAACTATGTCAAACTACCTATAGTGTCTCAATTTGTTTATTTTTGTAAATTATTTTTGACTAAATGTCCCAGAAGCAAATCAATGTAAAAGATTGTTAACATTTATTTGTGTACAGGTATAAAAGAAACTAATGTGAAATGTTTTTTTAAGAAAAGAGAAGAATTTTGTTATGAGCCAATTCATACTGTTGCAAATATCTTGGATCCAAAACTGAAAGGCAGAAATGTAAATAATGATAGCACTGCTGCTGCTGCCCTAGATTAAATTACAAAACAAGCAGCACATTTAGAAATTTATGCTGGAAAAATCTTTCAAATGTGTCTGAATACAGAGCAGTTACAGTGTTTGTGCAGTCATGCAGTTTGGAATTGTGCCAAGTGTAACGCTCTTACTCCTGGTCCCACCCTCCTGATGAGGAATCTGAAGGCCAGGTTACAATTCAAGGCCTCTATGTCTGGCTCAAGTTCCTACCCAGTGTTGAAGAACTTTCAGCCTTACTATATTTGCTAGTGAAAATAATAATATTAATAACCTTTGGTGTTTATTATGTACTGAACATTATGCAAGATTAATTATATATTTTCTCTCAATTATGTTTCATAACATATCTATGAGGTAAGTACTCTCATGTTCAGATGAGGAAATTGATGCTCAATAAAGGTTAAGAAAAATTGATCAAGGTCAAATTGGCTTATCTGCTCATTTAGTGCTCTATTGAAATATCAGTAGTCTCTCCTGATGTCTGATGTCGAGAATGACTTTTTTTTTTTTATGACAAGGCCAAGTATCTTAGAATACCACAGTAAGGTCTCCCAACCCTGAACATTTAGCTTCTGCCCTCACAGATGATTCCCATCAGCAGGAGTTTCTGTCTGTTATATCTGCTGCTTGCTTTCAGACACACAAATAAACAGTTGTCAGTGGTCCTCCATAGCTATGCCTCATGACAGTCCTTGTATCAGCCCCTAGTCTTATGGGATGCACAGTAGCAACGTAACTTAATATTACTACAGGATCTCCAATGTACCCTTAGTGACAGAAACAAGTAATAAATCAAAGACTTTTGCATTACTTTAAGAAAATCATTTCATAAAAACACCAGCTGCCTTAACCTATTCAAATTGCCTATCTCTGATTTAAACAATATTTAGGAATTTAAAATTGGTGTGGAATGAAGCAATTTTCTCCAGCTTGGAGAATGATGGTTTTCTCTATGGCCGCTCCTGAGACTGGAGCCACATTGAATCTCTAATTCTCTATAAGGAATGTTTGAATGGAGGGAGGAGACTGGGAATTAAAAGGGACTTGTATGCTCCTTAAACACGAGTTCAGACATTACTGGAAATTAGTAAAGAGGCTTTGCACTCAGTACTTTACTATCTTATTCTTTCTTGCTTCCATGTTTTTCTAAAATAAAATTTGAATCAGATACACATAAGAAAGATCCCCTGAAGCTCCATCCAATGAATTGGGGGGAATTGAAAATCTAGGCTTCACCTGGAAAGGCTGCTACAAAATAATCCACAGGTAGAGTGATTCTATGCCAAATGAAAGGAGTCCATTGCTAAGATTGGTGTAACAGATTTCCCGTGGAAGACTTTGTTTCCCTTTAGTAATGTTCGGAACAACCAGTGTGAGCAATGGTTGTGTGAGACAGTGTCTCTGTCTGACTTTAGTTTCCTGCATTGTACTTCTTTCTCCTGGTTTTTTTTGGGTGTGTGTGGCTAATTCTTTGTGTGATTAGTGTTTTTCTATACAACATGACACTGAGAGAAACATTCTAAACTGCATTTGCCAGGAAAAGTCTGTTCTCTTTAGAATTCAAAGTGAAACCAATACTACACTTTGCAGAGATATAGATGGTAGGATTGTTGCAGGAAAATGTCACCCCGATTGCCCCAGGAAGCAGGAACGCTTTTACTGCTGCTTAACCACTTCTTGCTCATTACTGTGGTAGGTTGGCTCCTTTCACACAAATTACCTCAGGAGATCTTCTCAGATAGCATCGTGTCTGCCCTGTTCATGCTGTTCTTGTTTTTCTAAGACTCTTGCCTATTCTTAGCATTTGGATGGAATTTCTGCTATAGGATTACCACGAAATACACACACACACACACACACACACACACACACACGCACAGGGTTTCAGAGTTTCATTGAATTACACTTTTTGAAAATTCAGACTTAGTGTTCCCAAAGCTCTACCTGGTTCACAAGTGGGCTTACCTCCAAAGTCCTAGAATCAAATTCTCTTCCCTCTACCTTCTCCACTCTGTAGCCTCTCTTATCAAAGTCACCAGGCTACACTAAACTGCATGCCTTTCTGTGTTGCATGCTTCCTACAGGCAGTCTAGCTCCCAAAAAGAGAAGAGAAAATTGTACTATGTAAACACACTTTTTCACACTTTTTTCTTATATACTATAAACATATAAGATATATAAGTGGAACCATACAGTATTTTTCCTGTAGTGTCTGGCTTATTTCACTCAACATAATGTTTTCAAGGTTCATCCATATGTAGCATGTATCAGAATTATATTTCTTAAAGCTGAATAATATGCCATTGTAAGGATAGACCACATTTTGTTTATATATTTGTCTGTTGATACACATTTTTATGTTGTCCCTCCTTTTGGTTACTGTGGATAGAAATCTTATGAACCTTCATGTAAAAGTTTATGCTTGAAAACCTGTTTTAACTTATTTTGTAGATATAGTTAGGAGTGTAAATTTTTGTGTCATATGGTAACTATGTTTAACATTTTCAAAAATCGTCAAACTGTTTTCCACAGTGGCTGCAGCGTTTTACATTCCAACCATCAATGTACAAGAGTTCTAATTTCTCCACAGCCTCACCAACACATGTTATTTTCCATTTTTTAAAAATTTATTATTGCTATCCTAGTGGGTATGAAGTGGTATCTCATTGTAGGTTTGATTTGTTATTTCCCTGATGAAGGAGTAAATGAGGATCAGAGAAAAACAGACATATTTTTGTTTACCCTTTATGTAAGCTACACCAGGAATAAGAAAAACTTTCCAAACAGCTCTATGAGATAGGTAATAATATTACTTCTGTAAATGAGGAAACTGAACTTCAGAGAGCTAAAATATCCAAGGTCATACAAATAGGTGGTGAAGTCATGTCATCCACGCAGTTTAACCCCAGAGTCTGTGCTTTTAACCACAATCACATTCTGAAACTAAACTAAAAGATCCCAAAGAGCAGATACCATATCTCCTGTGCCTTTTATGCTTGAGAATAGTGCACTTTGCACACAGGAGGAACTCCAGAAATATCTGTTAACTGATCATGGGAATATTAAAGCCCTGCTTGAAAAGCTCAGAATTATTAAAACAAATTATATGAGTAGAATAATCATAACTAGAGAGGGTTTTATTAATACTACTTGCTGCGGCTGTTCAGATCTGAGTCTTTCTTATCTGTTTTCTCCCTGGAAGCTATGTTTTCCTTTCTTCAGTATCTACATTTTTCTGTGTACTGTGTACATAAGAGAGGAATTTTAAAACCCCTCTTGTGGAAAGACATTCTTCCTGCTTAAAGTTCAAACTTAAAACTAATCTTGTATTTTGCACAAGCACGTATGCTAGGAAAAAGAATTAAAATAAAAGTATTTACAACCTCTAATCCTCAGAAAATCCACTAAAGAGAATTCTGTCCTTGCAGTTTCTGCACTTTGTCCCAGAGATCAGGATAATGGTTAAGAGATAGAAATGGAACAAACCAGGATTTGTTTTATTTACATTAAAAGTTTAGACAATTACCAAAAGAAAAAATTCACTTAGGCCAGATATGAGTGTTTTAGGTAGTTTAGAGAGAGATAGAAAGAGATTGAATTATCTTCTATGTCACAATGCATGGAAATTTTGGGGAGTAAATGAAAATTATTTTTTAAAAGAGTTTGCTATTTGTTGTGAAAGGCATAGTAAGACTGAAAAATGAAACCTAAGGACTTTTTAAACATGTTTTTTGGATCTTAGACAAGTATTTATTTGGATATTGACACCATGCTGAGACTGCCATGAGGTAGATTAATTTTATATAGGTTATATTCGGGAGATAATATCTAATTTTAACAAGGGCGTGAGAGTTTAAGTTGGTACAGCCATTTGGGGGTATATTCTGGCTGTTATAGCAAAATTGAAAATGTTAATAATTTATGACACACTAGTTTCATTTCTTTCCTGGAGAAAAAGACACACATGTTGGAAGATTTGTAAAGAATATTTTCTATAACACTGCAAAAATTTGAAAATGGACTGATTGTCCAATAATAAAGAAATGATTTTTAAAATTATATATTTGGCTTAAAAAATTTTTTTAACCTATTAATACAGATCAGCATGTCTGGTTCATTTCAGCTCCTTCACTGCCAAACCTGGGGGAAGGGACTGCTTCAATTTCTCAGCCTTTTCTTCCTCTGTGATGACCAAGGTATAAACGTATCTGCTATACTGCAATTTAAACCTTCACACTGTACTTATTTTCCTTTTTTAAAAGTATACTTTACTGAGTATGCTATTACAGTAGTCCTAATTGTTTTCTACTCTTTCTCCCCCTTTGCCCTGCACCAGCCCACCCCCTTAGTTCATGTCCAGGGGTCATACATATAAGTTGTTTGGCTTCTCCATGTCCTATACTGTTCTTAACCTGCCCCCCCCCTCCGGTCTATTTTGTACCTGCCATTTATGCTTCTTATTCCCCATACCTTTTCTCCCATTCTCCCCCATCCCCTCCCCACTGGTAACCCTCCATGTGATCTCCATTTCTGTGATTCTGTTCCTGTCTAGTTGTTTGCTTAGTTTTAGTTTTGTTTTTAGGTTCAGTTCTTGACAGTTGTGAGTTTGTCATTTAACTGTTCATAGTTTTTGATCTTCTTTTTCTTGGATAAGTCCCTTTAACATTTCATATAATAAGGGCTTGCTGATGATGAACTCCTTTAACTTGACCTTATCTGGGAACCACTCTATATGCCCTTCCATTCTAAATGAAAACTTTGCTGGGTAGAGCAATCTTGGTTGTAGGTCTTTGGATTTCATGACTTGGAATACTTCTTTCCAGCCCCTTCTTGTCTGTAAGGTCTCTTTTGAGAAATCAGCTGACAGTCTGATGGGAACTCCTTTGTAGGTACTGTCCCCTTATCTTTTGCTGCTTCTAGAATTCGCTTCTTCATTTTAATCTTGGTTGATGTAATTATGGTGTGCCTTGGTGTGTTCCTGCTTGGGTACAACTTCTTTGGGACTCTCTGAGCTTCCTAGACTTCTTAAAAGTCTATTTCCTTTTCCAGACTGGGGAAGTTCTCCTTTACTATTTTTTAAAATAAGTTTTAAATTTCTTGCTCTTGTCCTTCTGGCACTTCTATGATTCAGATGTTGGAACATTTAAAGTTGTTTGGGAAGTTCCCAAGCCTCTCCTCATTTTTCTGAATTCTTGTTTCTTCATTCTGTTCTGGTTAAATGCTTATTTCTTCTTTCTACTCCAAATCATTGATTTGAGTACCAGTTGCCCTCCTTTCACTGTTGTTTCCCTGTATATTTTTCTTTATTTCACTTTACACAGCCTTCACTTTTTCCTCTATTTTGTGACTATACCCAATCATTTCTCAGAGCATCCTGAGTACCAGTGTTTTAACTCTGCATCTGATAAGTTGTCTATGTCCTTGTTGCTTAGTTCTTTCTCTGGCGTTTGGATCTGTCCTTCATTTGGGCCGTATTTCTTCATCTCAGTGCACCTGTTACATTGTAAGGGGTGAAGCCTTAGGTATTTGCCTGGGCAAGGCAACCCTCTTTGCTGCCGTTGTGGTACTGCCTGTGGGGGAGGGGTCAGAGAGGGAACAATGATGCTTGCTCATCTCTGGCCACAGTTTCTGTCACTTCCCTCGCTTCTCACAAGCAGATTTTGCCCTTTCAGGTACTGATACCTGGGTGGGTGGACTTATGTACATTCTAGGATCCCATGGGTCCCTCCAGTGGGCTCTCCTGTGAGACTGGGAGTCTCTCCTGCCTTTGCAACCGTCACAGAATTTTACAACCAAAGTTTTGAGTCTTTAGTTTTCCCCACTGAAACCCTGGGTTTTGTGGTCTGTCTCTCTCCCTAGTTGTTATTCCTGGCTTATATGTGTGTAAATATGGGACTGCCTGGTCCACCAGTCCCTACCTCTCCCATGCAGTCCACCACCTTGCCATGTGTCTTCTCCACTGGCTAACCATCTCTGCCTGTCCTACCAGTCTGGATGAGTATTTCCTTAACTCCTTGTTTGTCAGACTTCCATGCAGTTTGATTTTTCTGACAGTTCTGGTTTTTTTTAATTGGTTGTTATCCTTCTTTTGGTTGTGCAAGAAAGCAAAGCATTTCTACCTGTACCTCCATCTTGGCCAGAACTCCCTGTCCTTATTTTTCTTGATCTTGGCAGATTTGGCATCCTTTCTCCTGGCTCTGAGCAGGAAGTCCTTGATTTCCTCGATTTTGTGAAGCATGGCTATGAGGTGTGGAAACTGTGCAGTGGCACCTTGGATTATCTCTCCTACCCCCAGTGTATGTATTTTCTGATGTACGTATAGCTTTTCTGATATCAGCATCATGGTTGAGAAGACACCTTTATATGTTTCCTTACATTTACAAGTTGGACAATTATAATTCAACAAAGGTTCATCTGTTCAACACACAAACACACCTGAGAGATCCATGCATTGGTACTTCTGAAGGTGGGCATATTGGAATGCATAGAAGAGGTAGGGTGGGGGAAAGACTAGGATAGTATTGACAGACACAGCTTGGTGCTGCTCTGACCCTAGTCAACAGCAGTGATGGAAGTCTCAGGATGTGGTCCCTACACTATGGTTCAGTGCAGAGTAACAGAGGCAAAAGCAGCCTTGGTGCGTGACAAGCTGGCTCCCCACATTGTGGCAGAACCTGGCATTAGTAGCCAAGATGACACTAAGTGGGCCTGTGGCTATTAGTAACTAGGAGACAGCAGTACCAGCTTGCAAACCCAGCTCTTCTCTACCGTGTCCCTCCCACCCCCATCACAGTGGTGGTGCCTCAAAACTGAGGTAACTGAGACTCACCAAGGACAATTATTACCCTGGTCACCCAGGAGTCAATTTCCATGCCAACCCTCCCCTCACTCCCTCCTGCCCCAGAGGCTCCAGTTCAAGTAAAAGGGGAAAAGTTGTGCTATAGCACCATCTACTGGAAAACAAAGGGCAGATTTCTTAATTACTAGGCTGCTGAATTGTTATGATCAAAATGGTATCTAAATCAGTAAAGAGACCAGTACTTCAAATGCTCTGGCACAGAAACAATACATCAAGTAACATTAATCAAGGAAACATGCTCATACAAAAATATAGTCCCAAGAAACCAGACTCTAAGTCATGGAAGACTGTGATTTAAATGACAGAGTATTCAAGATTGCAGTTATGAAGAAACTCGACAAGATAGAAGAAAACTCAGAAAAGCAGAAGAATGAACTCGTAATAAAATAGATGAACAAAAGAAGTACTTTACCAAAAGACTAATATTATAAAAATGAACCAAACAAATTCTGGACCTCAGGAAATCGGTCAAATGAGATGAATAATGCATTATAAAGCATTGGAAATAGAGCAGACCAAATGAAAGGGAGAATTAGGGAACTTGAAGACAGATATCCAGAAATTATTTGTGCAGAAGAAGAGAGAGATTTAACATTTAAAAAAATACAAGAACTCTACAATATTTGATTCCATTAGGAATAAACCATAAGGATAATGGGTATCCCATAAGGAGAAGAGCGAAAGAGAACAGAGCTTATTGAAAGAAATAATTAATGAAGACATCTGAAATCTAGGGAAGTAACTGGTCATTCAAGAGCAAAACAGAATGCCTAATTATTTTAAAGCAAAAAGATCTCTAAGACACATTACATCAAAACTATCTACAGTTAATGATAAAGAAACTCTCAAGGCATCCAGGATATAAAAGACAGTAACCTACAAAGAAAGCTCCATCAGACTATCATCAGATTTCTCAGCAGAGACCTTCCAGGCCAATAGAGAGTGAAATGATATATTCAAAATATTGAAAGAAGGGTAACACCAACCAAGAATTATACATACAGCAAAGCTGTCCATTAACTATAATGGAGAAATAAATGTTTTCCCAAACTAAAGCCAGAGGAACTTATTATCACAAGACCTGGATTATAAAAAATATTGAACTCTGGACAGTATGGCTCAGTTGGTTGAAGTGTCATCCCACAAACCAAAGAATCATGCGTTTGATTACTAGTCAGGCACCTGCCAAGGTTGCAGGTTCTATCCCCAGTCAGGGTGCATATGAGATACAAGTGATCTCTCTCTCTCACTCTCACTCTCACTCTCTCTCCTACTCCTCCTCTCTGTAAAATCAATAAGCATGTCCTCAGGTGAGAATTTTAAAAAAAGAAATAAGTATTGGAAGGGGCTTTTCTACAAGAAAAAAAATGACAAAAGTATACAAAACTCTGAGTAAGGTGATGAACATACAGAGAAAAGAAAATGCAACTCTATTTCAGAATATAATAACAAACGCTTCATTATAACATAAAGGTCAAAGGGTAAAACATTAACATAAGTATAGATATTGCAATAAGGTAACAAATGCAAAACATAAAAAGGGATAATTTTTTAAAGATTTTATTTATTTAACTTTAGAGGGGAAAGGAAGGAGAGAGGGAGAGAAATATCAATGTATAGTTGCCTCTCATGTGTCCCCTGCTGGGAAGTGGCCTACAACCCAGGCATGTGCCCTGACTGGGAATTGAACTGAGATCCTCTAGTTCGCAGGCCCACACTCAGTCCACTGAGTTACACCAGCCAGGGCAAAAAGGGATCATTTATGATTACAAAATGTAAGAGGGGAGAAGGAAAAAGACTGAAATTGTACACACAAATAAAGATAAGATGCTATAGAAGAAAAAAACTATTTTATCTAGCAGACATACAAAAGTCATGATAACTATATGTTGTCTTCAGAAGAACTATCTCAGCTTCAAAGAAAAACAGGCTCAAAATGAAGGGGTGGAAGATGATACTCCAGGTAAATGGCATCCAGAGAAAAAAAGTTACTGTAGCCATACTTATATCTGACAAAATAGATTTTAAGACAAAAAAAAGATAACAGCAGACAAGGATGGACATTTTAAAATGAAAAGGACAATCTATAAAGAACACATAACAGTTATTAAGATATATGCATTCAATTCAGGAGCCCCAAAATATATAAAGCCATTATTAAAAGACTTAAAGGGAGTAACTGACAGTAATACAATAACTGACAGGCTGTGGATCACTTGCAACCAAGAGCAGGCTGCCTAGAACTACACTGGGTTCGTGTCTGACAGTACCAGAGTTAGATCTGGAAGAAGAGGCCTGCAGGCAAGCACTGGACTCTGCTGAGACAAATTCCACCTCATTCTTTTTCATTGCTTACAGGTTATTTTTGTTTATACATCTTTTAAATATTTTTCCTTTTCTTTGATTTTGTTCCTATTAGTTCACTATCATTTTTTATTTGAAATCTCATATTTTACCCTTCCCTTTTTTTACTCCATTTTGCCTACTTCCTTCCCTTTCTTATTTTCTTATTTTGGTTTTAAATTTTTTCCTTTATTGAGGACTTCCACCCAGATGGAGGCATAGGTGGAGACGTCGTGCTTTCTCCCACAACCAAGTTTAGAGACAACAAAATATTAGCAACATAAAACACAGCCAGAACACAGAAAATTGAATGTTTTGGAAGTCTGATAACAACAAATTCCTCAGCCTGACTGGTAAGAGGGGCAAAGCCAGCAGCACAGGAAAACTCGGTCAGACGGAACCAGGTATGTGGATCCCAGGCGTGGGGTTTCAATGGGCGGACCCAGTGAGCAACACAGTGACAGACCCGCGGAACCAGCGAGGGTGCAGGGCGGAGGGTTGACTGTGGTCCCACATTTGTACGCAGATAGACCAGTGAGAGAGAGGGCGGTGACACTGGACCGAGCAGGCCCCAGCGGCCAGAAGTACCAGAGGGGGCTGCCATTCCCCTGCTTTGACCCCACCCCCACATACAGCATCACAAACAAACCACCTGGGTGGCCCTGCCCTGGTAAACATCTAAGGCTCTGCTCCTCATAATTGACAGGCCCGAAAGACCAAAAATGGCTCAAGAAGATCTCAAAGCCCCAGAGCCCATAAACCTAAACGATGAAGAAACACCAAAACTTTCAGATGCACAGTTCAAGCCACTGCTGATCAGGATGCTCACAGAACTGGTTGATTTTAGTCACAAATTAGAGGAACATATGAAGGCTAAACTAATTGAAATGAAAGGAATTGCACAGGAAACCAATAGTCATGAAGAGGAAACTGGGACTCAAATCAAGGGAGTGAACCAGAAGGAAGAAAAAAATGGCCAAACAGGAAAATATGAAAAAACAAGAATTCAAAAAAAAAAAGAGAAGAGACTTAGGAACCTCCAGGACATCTCTAAACGCTCCAACATTTGAATTATAGGAGTACCAGAAGGGGGAAAGGAACAACCACCAGTGGAAAACATATTTCAACAAATAATAAAGGAGAATTTCCCCAATCTGGCTAAGAAAATAGACCTCAAGGAAATCCAGGAATTTCATAGAGTACCAAAGAAGTTGGACCCAAGAAGAAAGACACCAAGGCACACCATAATTACAATAGCCAAGATTAAAATGAAAGAGAGAATCCTAGAAGCAGTAAGAGATAAGGGGACAGTCACCTACAAAGGAGTTCCCATCAGACTGTCAAAAGATTTCTCAAAAGAGACCCTACAGGCAAGAAGGGGCTGGAAAGAGGTATTTCAAGTCATGACATACAAAAACCTACAAACAAGATTACTCTATGCAGCAAAACTTTCATTTAGAATGGAAGGACAGATAAAGTGCTTCTCAGATAAGATCAGATTCAAGGAGTTCATCATCACCAAGCCTTAGTTATATGAAATGTTAAAGGGACTTATCTAAGAAAAAGAAGATAAAAAATATGAACAGGGAAAGGACAGCAAACTCACAGTTATTAACAACCACACCTAAAACAATAGAAAACTAAAAGGACAGCTAGATCAGGAGCAGAAACAGAGAAATGAAGATCTCAAGAAGGGTTAACAACAGGGGAGTGGTAAAAAGAAGGGGGGAGAAGGTACAGAAAAAAAGTAGCATAGACACTACGCAGAAAATAAATAGGGGAGCAAGAGCATTATGGGAAATATAGAATCTAAAGAACTTCAGACACATGAAAAAAAGAAAGAAAGAAACTTGACAACCAACTTACACCATACAGAAAAATAAATTCAAGGTGGATACAAGATTCAACTATAAGCCATGACACCATTAAAGTCCTAGAGGAGAACATAGGCAGGAAAATCTCAGATATTTCACACAGCAACATTTTTACTGATATGTCCCCTAGAGCAAGGGACATAAAGGAAAGAATAAACAAAT